GAACCAAAAAGTGCAGGTGACAGGAGTTTTCCAAACAAATGCCAAGCGACAGGATGGCATAGTGAATGAGGAAGTTACTCTAGTAATCTTCCAGAGGAACAAAGAGATGCAGAGAAAAGACTATATAAAACGGGGTTTTATCTCAGATTATGGCCACTGACAATGGCTACTCCTTGCCGGACTCAGCTATGTCAGTGAACCTCATTGCAATGGGGTGTTTGTAAGTGTTATCTTACTGAAATGTTATGTTATGATGGCTGTTCATGTTCCAAATTGCTCATGAAATAAACCTCTGATCTCAAAGTAGGATTTATTGCTTCTGGTTTGTCTGTGTTTCTCTTTTATTGAGTTATTTTTACGACAGAATGGTGCGTGACTCGAATAATCGTTCCCAAAATCATAAGGTTAGGAAACAATTCTTCTCCCTGGGTATTGCTTTAAATACCCCCAAAGGAATCAGAACACAACCTTCCCAGGCACTTATCAAAAGAGTTACTAATCATAAATATAGAGTTTTGTCCACATAATATAGAATTCAATTCCCTATTTTTATATATATATATATGAGATACCGCAGTTGTGCCGGAAGTTTTGGGTAGGTTGTGTAGGGGGAGAGAAATGTCATTGGATGAAATTCCAATTTATATGAGGAGACTATGGATACTGACAGTTGGAAAATGGATTTCAGTAGGCAGCATCCTGGCACATGTTAGTTACAAAATGTGCAACATGTTCTATTTCTGAACAGTGACACAAAATGCTCAGTATAGATGCACATGGTAGTATGCATGTGTGTGTATTTCCAACTATATTTGATGCATACGGCCAGGTTAAGGTTCCAAGCGAAGTAAGATTTGTATCTACAAAAGAGGAACAAGTACAGTAATAAATTCTGGGTGAGAAAGCTCCCTTCTCTACACTCCACATTTCTACAATATGCTTTCAAATAAACTGATTTTTCAGAGAAAGAGACCAAGATAAAAGTAAACTCAGGTTTCGTCTCTCCAGAAGCAACAAGCTAGCAGCTGCCTCGGGGCGAAAAAAAAAAACCCCCGAGAGGTTTCGGTTGCGGCTCAGAGCAAATTACTACGAGCAAAATCAATACATCGTCCTTTGGTCCTTGCAAGGGGTCTTCCGGTGTGGTGTGAATTCCACCCAGGTGACAAGGCAGAGGATGAAAAAGAAAGAAGAAAGAGTAACTGTTGAAAGAGTAAGGAAAGACAGGAAGCAGAGCTCAGTCGATATCAAAGAGTTCTTTGGTCCTTTCATCTCTGCCTTTTTAATCCTCTGCTGCCTTTGTATCTTCACAAGACAATTCAATAAGGGCAGTCCTCGGTTAACGACCGATTGCTTAGAGACTAAAGTTACAACAGACACACCACCACCCCAAAAAAGTACTTATTTATTTGTATCCCACCTATGTTATTTTTACAAATACAGTAACTTTCAAGGTAGCAAATCCCATTTTCCCCCCAACAACCACCCTGTGAGGTGGGTTGGGCTGAGAGAGAGCGGGACTGGCCCAAGGTTACTCAGCTGGACTTTCGTGCCTAAGGCAGGACTAGAATTCATTTTCTCCTGGTGATTGGTCCAAAGTCACCTATGCAGCTCTTATGACTAAGACAGGACTAGAACTCACCGTCTCCTGGGGATTGGCTCAGTTACCCAGCCGGCTTTCATGCCTAAAATGGGACTAGAACTCACCGTCCCCTGGTGATTGGCACAAAGTCACCCCGCCAGCTTTCCAGGCCTACAGTGAGACTAGAGCTCATGGTCTCCTGCTGATTGGTCCAAGGCGGGACTAGAGCTCACAGCCTCCTGATGATTGGGCCAAAGTCACGCAAGCAGCTCTGACTAAGGTGGGACTAGAACTCACGTCTCCTGGCGATTGGCCCAAAGTCACGCAGCTGATTTTCATTCGTAAGGTGGGACTAGAACTCACCGTCTCCTGGTGATTGGCACAGTCACCCAGCACACTTTCCATGCCTATGGTGAGACTAGAACTCACCGTCTCCTGGTGCTTGGTTTAAAATCACTCAGCCAGCTCTTATGACTAAGGTGGGACTAGAACTCACTGTCTCCTGGTGAGTGGCCTAAAGTCACCCAGCCAGGTTTCATGCTTAAGGTGGGACTAGAACTCACCGTCTCCTGGTGCTTGGTTCAAAATCACTCAGCCAGCTCTCATGACTAAGGTGGGACTAGAACTCACCGTCTCCTGGTGAGTGGCCTAAAGTCACCCAGCCAGCTTTCCTTCCAAAAGCAGAACTAGAATGTTATTGACACCCAGTTTCTAACCCTGTACCTTAACCACTAGACTAGACCAAACTGGCTCTTACTTATGACCCATAGTCATAAGTTCTGACAGTGCCCCCCTACAGTCACATGACTGCATTTGGGGCATTCAGCAAAGCGCCTGCCATTACATCCATTTGCAGCAACCCACAGTCACATGATCACGCGTTATTATGTAAATCCTGGTTTCCGGGGGCACGACAACACCCCATTGCAAACCACGGGTTTGTTTCACAACTGCGGCATTCTCTTAATGACCACTTTATTTGTCTTAAAAGCTGCAAAAAAAAAAAAAAAAAGTCATACACCTGGAAGTGGTCGTGGGGGTGGTGACCCACTTTACGACTATCACGACTTACAACGAATCTCTTCCTGCCTGCCTCTGCGGACCTTGTGCCAAAAGGACATTCAGGCAGTCCTCGACGTACGACCGTAATTGAGTTTAGCGATTATGGTTGTAAGTCGAGGACTACCTGTGCTTCGTTTTGACCCAGGATGGGTGGAGCCAGGAGGAGATTGGTTCTACGGCCAAGTCGCACGTGGGAACTGCAGTCATCTGGGCAGCTACCACAACATCCCTCTCACCAGAAACACGTGTGAAGTCCGGACATGTGAACATGGCAAGGCCAAAGAGCTGCACAGGCCCCTTTCGCTTCTTCTGCGGCTGCTGTCATCAAGGTGGGGACCTTTTAGCCCGCCTCATCTCACACCTTTCAGAAATGATCACATCAGGTTACACTCCCCAGGCACGCAGGGAGGAAACGCTCGCGCTTAACTGGACGCACCAAACGTCACCTTTTGTTAGGGATGATATGCACACGGATCTCTCTCTGTCTCTCTCTCTCCCTCTCAGTCTCTCTTTCTGTCTCTGTCTTTCTCTCTGTCTCTATTTCTCTCCCTTTCTCCCTGTCTTTCTCTGTCTCTCTCTTTCTCTCCCTCTCTCTCTCCCCCCCTCTCCCTCTCTCTGCATTTTTCTCTCTCCCACTCTCTCTCTGTATTTCTCTCCTTTTCTCCCTCTCCGTTTTTTCTCTTTCTCTCTCCTTCTCTCTGTCTCTCTCCTCCCCCTCTCTCTGCATTTCTCTCTCTCCCAGTCTTTCTGTCTCTCTTTCTCTTTCTCTCTGTCTTTCTCTCTTTTCCACTGTCTTTCTGTGTGTGTTTCTCTCTCTCCCAGTCTTTTCTGTCTCTGTCTCTTTCTCTCTCTCTCTCTCCATCTCTGTCTTTCTCTCTTTTCCACTGTCTTTCTCTCTCTGTGTGTTTCTCTCTCTCCCAGTCTTTCTGTCTCTGTCTTTCTCTCTCTCTCTCTCCCTGTGTCTCTCTGTCTTTCTCTTTTCTCCACTGTCTTTCTCTCTCTGTGTGTGTGTTTCTCTCTGTCAATCACTCTCACTCACTCACACACACACACACACACACACACTCACACAGTAAAAAGAAAGACTCCTGCATCAAATCTGTAGGCAATATGGATTCCATCCGGTTTGAGCGTAAATGAACCTATGAAGCATAAAACAGTGCACAGGTGGTCCCCGATTTACCAGAGTTTGTTTAGTGACCGTTCAAAGTTACAGCGGCACTGGAAAAAGGGACTTTGGACTGGCTCAGGAATTCTGGGAGTTGAAGTCCACAAGTCATTAAAGGGCCATCGTTCCCCATTTCTGCTGATGGCTTCAAAGGAAGCTCATGGGTAGAACATAGCACACTAATACAAGTACCTAGTCCCTGTGAGGTTTGGCACAGCCTTCATAAAGCTGCAACAGATCAAAGTTAAATATTTATTAGCTTGTATAGACAGTCATCGACTTGCAACGGTTCATTTAGGGACCGTTTGAAGGTACAATGGCACTGAAAAAAGAGGGACTTACGACTGTTTTTTCATACTTACGACCGTTGCAGCATCCCCCTGGTCACGTAATCAAAATTCAGACGCTTGGCCACTGGTTCATATTTATGACGGTTGCAGTGTCCCAGGACCTCACCCTTATGCAACCTTCTGACAAGCAAAGTCAATGGGGAAGCCAGCTTTACTTAATAAACTGAGTTACTTGTTAATTGTTATTCACATAACAATTGTGGCAAGAAAGGTTTTAAAACGGGGGAAAAAACTCATTTGTGAACGAATGTCTCACTTAGCAACAGAAATTCTGAGCTTAATTGTGGTCCTAAGTCGAGGACCACTCGTGGCTGGAAAGTAACCTCCAAACCTTGAGTTCACGAGAGCCTGAACTGGTTTTCTATACTTGAGGGCAGGCGGCGTGTAATCCACATATATTAATGCTATTAATAATTAATATTAATAATTAATATTAATAATAATCAATCAAAAGCTGCTGTGAAGATTGACAGCTGAAGATGATAGTTTACACCCCAAGCATCATCCTATCTTAATTCCATCTGAAAAGTGTATCAATTAGGATGCATTTTTGGTCATCAATTTTAGCTTATTTTTGCCACAAGGCCACCTGTCATTTAAAACAGTGTGTCAGCTGGATGCAGATACATTGTGCAATAATCAGTACAGCTGTAATTAATTTCTTACTGCAATATCAATAACTATATTCTTATTTTATTACTGTAACAAATATACCTTATCATTATCCATCTTTATTTTTCAGCCATTGATAAAATAAATCCCATATCGTATAATGTTCAGTTTGTTCTTTTTCTTTAATTGCCAAAGTTGATCTCTTCATTTCTGCACATTAATATTTTCTTAATCAAGTTCTCTTCTATCTATAATTCTATCTATAATTCTATAATTAGGATGCATTTTGAATGTTTTCCGCAAGCACGAAGCAGGAGAAAAGGATACGGCAGCTTTTATCAAGGAATTTGAAAAACAAACAGCCAGCTGCACTCAGACAAATGCACAACATCTGTCTCACTATCACAAAACACACAAGGCAGCTTGTCCTTGTTGCAAAGGAGCAAAAGATCAGGGTGTAAAAACGGAGGGTGGCATTTCTGTCCCTTTTGTGTGGTGTGTAGATCAGAAGAGAAATTCCCGACACACACACACACAAGTCCACAACACCCTCTCCCAATCCTCCAGCGAGCCCTGGCACAACAGATGTGGCAGCCTTTAATACCACAACTGTTCGGACAGATTCTTTATGGACAAGCTGAACAAACTCATAGGGCGTGTTTTGCAGTCTGTGAGACTTCACACCTGGGCTAAGCAATATAGGGAGTCCTCAACTTACAACAAGTTCACTGAGTGATGATCGCACTGAAAAAAGGGGCTTACGACCATTTTTTCACACTTACGACCGTCGCAGGATCTCCCCGGTCACGTGATTTACATTAGAAAGTCTGACAATTGGTTCACATTTACGACAGCCGCAGTGTCCCAGGGTGACGTGATCCACCACGTGATCCCCTTTTACAACCTTCTGACAAGCCAAGTCAACGGAGAAGCCAGATTCACTTAATGACTGTGTGACTAATTTGATAACTGCAGGGATTCACTTAACAAATGCAGCAAGAAAGGTTTTTAAAATGGGGCAAAACTCACTTCACAAATGGTTTCACTTAGCAACAAAAAAATTCTGGGCTCCGTGGTGGTCGTTAAGTCAAAGATTACCTGTACATCCTCAAACTTAATTCAGCCGCTCAACTTAACCTGAGACATTAACTAATTCACTAAATGTACTGTACTTACGACCACAATTAAGCCCAGAATTTCTGTCGCTAAGAGAGGCATTAAGCGACTTTTGCCCCATTGACCGACTTTTCTTTAGTTTAGTTTACTTTATTGTCACTGCACCTCGCACAACAAAATTAACTACCATCTTCCATGTACATTATGACTATGAAAATAAAACACAAACACACATCCTTCACATTCGATATCTGTTGAATTGAAAACCCGTGATATTGTATTAATATTGCACTATGCAGTAGAATTCAATAGAGTTACCGCCCTGGGATAGAAGCTGTTTTTCAGCCTATCTGCCCTTGTTTTTATTATCCTGTACCGTCTGCCAGATGGTAATAGTTCAAAAACAGGGGTGCCCAGGATGAGATGGATCTTTGAGGATGTTTTGAACTTTCTTAAGGCAGCGGGAGCTATAAAGCTCTTCCAAAGAGGGGAGAGGGCAACCCATGATCTTCTGGGCAATGACATTAAACCCTCTGGAGCGTTGTCATATCTGCCACTGTGCAATTGGCAAACCCTACAGAGGTGCAGTAAGTTAAGATACTCTCTATGGTGCAGCGGTAGAAGGTCACCAGCAGTTTTTCATTCAGTTGTTGTTTTACGAGAAGTCTCATGTAGTCTAATCTCTGCTGGGCCCTTTTGACCAGGGTTGCAATGTGAGCCCCCCAGGTCAGGTCCTCTTTTAGGGTAACACCCAGAAACTTAAAACTGGCCACTGGCTCCCCTCGGTCTCCCTTGATAAGCAAGGGCTGGATTTCTGATCTGTTCCTTCTATATAGTCCACTATCGTCTCCTTGGTCTTCTTGGTGTTGAGGACCAAGTTGTTGTCTCCACACCACATGAGGTCCTCCTCATCTCGGTAGGAAGACTCATCCCCCCCTGGAGATGAGTCCCACCACTGTTGTATCACCTGCAAACGTAGTAATTTGCTCCAGTTAACTGACTCACCGCAGCCGATATAAGTTCGTAACACCGTTGTTAAGCGAATCTGGCTTCCCCATTGCTTGTCCCCATGGTGTGACCCCCGCCCCGCCCAGGATATGGCGACCGTCGTACATGCGAGTCCAGTTGCCGAGCGTCCAAATCCAAGCGATGCTCTTAGCAACAGTGTTACTCACTTAACAACCGCAGGGATTCACTTAAGAACAGTTGCCAAAAAAGAAAAAGAAAGTTGTAAAAAAAAAAACCTGGCAAAGAAAAGCTCCCTTAACAAATGTCTCACTTAGTAACATAGTAATATATTCTGGGCTCCATTGTGGTCGTAAGTCGAGGACTCCCTGTAATGGGGGGGACTTTCAGGAAAGGGGGTTAAAGGGGAGGGATTTAAACTTTTTCAACGTCAAAGTGTCCTTGCAAAAGGTGGGGGAAGGGCTTGAACGGGGGTCCCCGGGCAAAGAGGACCCACAAGGAGAAATATGGGGAGGAGGGGCTGGAGACCAAAGACCACCCCCCCCCGACCCCACAGACCACCGTGCAGCTCCCCTCCTTCCTACTCACAGGCACCTGGCTGCTCCCCTGAGAAGTCGCTTCCATGGTTTCGGGGTGCCGGAGGGTGGGGGGGAAAAGAGACGACCGAGAAGGAGGGGGGGGGGCTGCAAGACGAGGGAGCCCCAAGTCCCGCGCGCGCCTCACTTGGCGTCCGGAGGGAAAGTCGATGTGCGCATGCGCTGCGCCCGATCGCTGCCTGGTTGTTAGGGACTCGCTCTAAGGAGAAGAGGCGGGGCGAGGCGGGGCGAGGCGGGGCTCCTCCCTCCCCGCGGCGCTCTCGCGCCTTCCGACCGTTGGGGACGGGGCGGAGCCAAGTCAACTCGGCTTCGTTGGGGGGCGGGGGCGAATGGACTCAAGGCAGGGGCGCCCGCCTCCGGTTTTGATTGGGCAAGCGCTACGAGGGCGGGGTTTTGGAGAGGCGCGCCTGGAGGTGGGCTTTTTTTCTTTTTTTTCTGCTTGAGTGGGGAGACACTCCTCGCTTCCCGCCCGCTCTCGCTCATCCCCGCGGAAGGAGGGGAAGTAGAGAGGCGGAAGGGTTAAAAAGAAAAAAGACCCGGATGAAAGCCGCTCTTTCATCCTCTCCCTCCTCCTCCCCCTTCCCCGTTAGGAATGACTGCGCCCAGCTTTGGAGGCTCCATTAGAGACATTTTAGTTTTCTCTCTTATTTATTTTATGTAGCATATGGGATCTGTACAAAGATCATGCGATGACTGATGTAAATATGTGAGTTTAAATAAAGCATCAGCAAACACAAAGACATTATATATGCTATATGCTTTATTTAAACTCACAATTGTACATCAGTGATTGCATGACCTGGGTAATATGTGTGTGTGTGTATGTATATATGTGTATATATGTATATGTATATGTGTATATATGTAGATAGATAGATAGATATTCTTAAGTTTTCGCGGGTACTTACATGTATGGTATTCCGCTTTGTTTGGGTATTTTCCCACGTCATTATAGTTGTGCTTTTAAAGTTGTAGCAACGTTTCGGCAGAATCTCATATATATATTAAAATTTATATATGTGTATGTATATGTGTGTGTGTGTTGAAAGAGAGGTCATGCAATCACTAATATACAAATTGTTTAAAGTTTAATTAAAGCATATATATATATATATATATATATATACATATACACATACATACATACATACACACACACACACACATACACACAAAAATATAAAGGGAACACTTAAACAACACAATGTAACTCCAAGTCAATCACACTTCTGTGAAATCAAACTGTCCACTTAGGTAGCAACACTGATTGACAATCCATGTCACATGCTGTTGTGCAAATGGAATAGACAACAGGTGGAAAGCAGAGGCAGGTAGCAAGACATTCCCAATAAAGGAGCGGTTCTGCAGGTGGTGACCACAGACCACTTCTCAGTTCCTATGCTTTCTGGCTGATGGTTTGGTCACTCTTGAATGCTGGCGGTGCTTTCACTCTAGTGGTAGCATGAGACGGAGTCTACAACCCACACAAGTGGCTCAGGTAGTGCAGCTCATCCAGGACGCACATCAATGCGAGCTGTGGCAAGACGGTTTGCTGTGTCTGTCAGCGTAGTGTCCAGAGCATGGAGGCGCTACCAGGAGACAGGCCAGTACATCAGGAGACGTGGAGGAGGCCGTAGGAGGGCAACAACCCAGCAACAGTTGTGCTTTTAAACTTGTAGCAACATTTTGGCAGAATCTCATCTGCCATCATCAGGCTTCGGTATAGTGTTCGTTTGTGTATATGTATGTATACATATACATATGCATACATAGATACATACATAGATACATAGGTACATACATAGATACATATATGTATATGTGTATATATACACACACACACATATATATACTGTATATATTAAAGTTGAAATTCACACAAATCATGCAATCACTAATATACAAATTAAGTTTAAATAAAGCATATATATGCTTTATTCATACACAGACACACACACACACATATCTATCTATATATCTATCAATATCTATTCAGCATATCTATGCTTTAAACATTAAAGTTACATTTGTATATCAGTGATTGCATGACCTCCCTCCCTCCCTCCCCCCCTCTCTCTTTCTCTCTCTTTCTCTCTCTTTCTCTCTCTCTCTCTCTCTCTGCGTAGAAGGGAGTGGGGCTTGTAGAGAGGAAGAGGAGGACTGTGGGGTCCTTGATATTCTCTGAGCTTGGTTGTTTTCTTGCAGACGTTTCATGAGCCCACAAGGTAATATCATCAGTACTAGAAGTGAAGGGAACAGAGAGCAAACCCCTCTCCGTTCTAGCACTGATGGTATTACCTAGTTGGGTAATGAAACATCCCCCCAAGAAAGCAACCAAGCTCAAGACAGAATAGCTTCTGGGATCTGATCCAGCAAAGCCCGCCTTTATGTGTTTTTTAAGCCAGGATGTAAATCAAACTCGCTTAAGACACGGCAGCTGGCCGGGACTCACGCCAGGCCTTCCAGCAAGCCAAGATATTAACTAGAAGATCCTTGTTTGAAGCAGCTAATTAATCTCTGCAAAGCAACAAGAAGAAGAAATGAGCCAGTTTTGGTGGTGTGGTTGGCACCAGGCTAGACACCTGGGAGGTTTGGGAGTTGTGCTGTTTTAAGCACAAAGCCAGCTAAGAGACTTGGGCCAGCCCAATTCTCGTAGCCCTCGGAAGCAGGCAATAACAGCTCACTTCCGGGAAAAAAAAAATTGCCAGAAAATTTGCAGCGGCCTAGAGCCAAGACTGACTGGAAGGCAGATTTTTTTAAAATGCCACAAAATTATTTACATAGTGCATTATATAGAATAGAAATAGAATAGAATAGAATTGAATTGAATTGAATTGAATTAAAATAGAATCAGAATAGCATAACATAGCATAAAATAGAATAGAATTAGAACAGAATAGAATAGAATAGAATAGAATAGAATAGAATAGAATAGAATAGAATAGAA